CACAATTAGAACTACCGAGGAAATTATGAAAATTTACAAAAAAATGTATTACATAAATTTTATATGATTCAACAAGTAAACTTAACTTCATGTAACTGTATTGAGATAACTTAATAATAAGGAGTGATTTGGAATAAGCAACAAGTTTATGAAATATACTTGACTCTTACGGCTAAGTTGTGGCATCATAATTTTAGTAAATAACAAAATAGGTAACATGTATGATATTTGCTTCACACAAAGTCGTTTTGCAGGTAATATTCACAATTTTTAAATGAATATGCAGCATCTCTTACCCATAAATAAGAAATTAATATTTAATTTTATTCTCTCTAATTAATTGTAATTCAATATAAACATTTAATAAAGTACCAAATTAAATAAAAATATATTAAAGTAATATAATATACGAAAGATGCATATCATTACATTAGAAGAAAATTTTTGAAGAATATATTTAGTAAAAATAAATCTGTAATACCAGCATCAAGGTCCTTTTTAAAATATACTTATTGGATGTGAAGCAATAGGCTACTTTTAAAATAATAAGAAGAATTTGAATAAGGCTAGCAAAATTAATAAACATATCTTTTTTAAATTTTAGTTAGCATATATTGTTAACATTTACAACATTTACCTACAATTTACAAAATTAGTAAGATTTTATAAACCCCAAATATAGAGAGAATTGAGTCTTTCAAACTATAATTTAAAAGGAAGGGAAACTTTCCTAAGCTTCCACCACTTCAATGGCTAGTCCAGTGTCGGCAATGTTGAGATATTGGAGTGTTTTTTGGAATACTACTAGAAGGCAGAAATAAATATCATATCTAACCTGTTAATAAGGTAGCAGCAAGTCTGCGACTAAATGACAACAGTTTCCAAAAACAAACCTAAATACCCAAACAATTCAAAAGTAAAGTAATAATGTGATTTATGTTACTGTGTGTACAATATTATCAAACCATTATTTCAGCTTATTTATTTTATTCGGGATTTCATACGTAATTTCGTTTTTCATTTAAGTAACTTCTTTTTTTATTTTATTGACATCTGACACTTTTCTTCTGTTGTTCAGTCAATATGACAGCTGTCATCTAACGTTTCGTCATTTGTAATTGTTATTAAGTATATAAATGTTTAGCTCTTTATGATAATACTCAAAAATATTTAAATAAAATTATAAATATCATATTTTATTTTTGTAATTAATATTTATAGGAAATTAATGCTAATTATTTGCTTTATAGTTTTTTACTTAATTGCTAGTAGTAGTTTCATTGTTTTTAATAACCTGTGAATTTCAACCGTTTCTGGAATTGTGCCGTTTACAATGCGCCTTTTTTTGGGATGATTCTAAGATATGTTTGCTTTAAATCGATCCAATGTTGTAGGATTATTAACTGTTTGCCAATATTATGTAAATGTTGTGTAAAATTTTGTAAAATCATATCAACTAAATTTTATCATAAAGTTATGAGAAGTTGTTTCACCAGGGAAATCAGCCTAGAATTACATATTTAGGTCCCATATAGAAACGTACTCGGTTTATTTCTATTAAGCATTACAATTGCTCAATATATTCAGGTCGCCTCTTAATAGATACAAATTGCACATTCAGCTCATCAAATACTATCGGTTGTGCTGATGTTAATCAGATAATATTGTTCCTGTAATTGTCATCGGTTTCCCTGTACAATCAATAAATTGTCTCGTACTGTTTGAAAATCTGTTCGTATTTTCATAAATAAAAATTAAAGCTTTTATTAAATTTTATACAGTTTCTTGAAATCGGCTCCACTCCCTTATTTATCAGCATATTTGAGTTGTTACATCATACATGACATCCATTTCCAGCGTGGATATCTGAGCGTAGCCAACTCATCCATGTCCATGACATCCATGTCCAGCGTGGATATCTGAGCGTAGCCAACTCATCCGCGTGGTTGACGCAGACCTTTCGTTGCCGGCAGTGGTCCAGGCCATGGTCGGAAGCGAGAGGGCATGGCAGGCGGTGGCCGACTTCAGCGAGAGAGTCATCTTGCAGAAGGAGGCTGCTGAACGAGTGAGGAAAGACGACACCTCCTCGGCCAACGAAGACTGGATCGAAGGCAGCGGGCTTATGCTCGCGACCTGCCTTCCCAGTGAGGAAGCCTCCGGGCGTCGGTGGGGAATCGGCGTCCGGGTGACATAGGCTAAGGGTAAGAGCGGCGTGTTTGGCGTTCCCGGCACGCTGCTCTTGAGTCGGAGAGGTGGTGTGGTGGAGCCACCGATACCCCTGCCGAAGGCGGAGTCCCCTTTCGGGACTCGTGCGTAGTGAGCGGAAGTATGGCTTGCCGTTCCCACTCACTAGTCTACGCACAGCGCAGAGAACGCCGAGGAGTTTAGTGGGTGGAAATCCCACACGCCCCTGTCGCGTTTCCCCCGCGGCAGGAAGTCTTTAAAAGATTCTCCTCGTTAGAAAAAAAAACATCCATTTTAGTAAAAAATTTGCAATAATTTTAAAAGCTGAGTCTTTTACATCTATTTTATTTACACAGTAGTTTTGCCTCTGTCTTCTGTTTTAACCGGAGCATGTACCTACTGAATTAATTAATATTTAATTATTATATTCTTAGTGAATAATTTAATGAAGTTTAAATTTACCTCTAACATTTATAGTCCTAAAAAGGAAAACTCGAATAATTATACTTATAGAGCCTTTTCTATATTAATCTTTTCTGTTTGACTAGTGGGTAATTATGTATTAAATTGTATTATTATATGTAATAAGACTGACTTTTATTTGTCTCCAAAAACTCTTGCGTTTTGCAAAGTAGGCATGTAAGTCGACAAATCTACCTAACAATTACACAAAAAATACATTAATTATAATTCAGACAATGATTTTATCTCAAAGTTTGACGCATTATATTACATATTTATACCTAATAAAATCATAACTTATCGATTATACCGAAGAAATTAAACCCATTTTACAATGCTTACTAGAAATTACAAACAATTATAAAGATCAGTCCATGAAGAACTTGAATATGGTTCTCAATAAGAATAATAAATCTTGTTTATTAATATGTAAATTTTAGTTTAATAAACAGATGAGGCACAACGGCGATATCGTAAATTATTACGAATTATTAAAATTGTATAAAACGAGCAATTGTAAATTTTTAGACAAGGGTTATTTTTTTAATTTATTGTTATTTTTTAATTTATGCGACCCACACCAGCCATGAAAATCACTATTTTATTTCCAGAATAATAATTATCGTAGGATATCAATTTAAGACTGAAAATAAAGACTAAATTTGACTATGATACGATAAAGTAAAGTACTGTTACTAGTGTTGCCCAAACGCAAGACCAAGACGAGACTTGGCCAGTCTTGGTCTTGGTCTTGCATCAACACACCTAGTCTTGGTCTTGGTCTCGGTCTTGCACCCCTAGTCTTGGTCTTGGTCTTGTTCTTGAAGCAAGAGTCTCGCTAGTCTTGCAATGACCTATTAGCCTATCGCTATTTATTAAAAATTGCTTTAGATATTAGAACAACGAACAGATTAGATGTACTTTTAGCTTGATTTAACATAAAAAATAACCAAATAAATAAATGTCTTAACATTTAATAAAAAATTAAAAAAAATTACTGACACCGGCTGGGGTTTGAACCCCCGACCTAAGCGAACAGTGCCGATGATCTAACTAATCAACTGAGCCCGCAAGAGTCTGTTTTTTTAATAATAATATTCAATGTACGAAGTAATGTATGTAAGTCTAATTTTCCAAAAAAAAAACATATTTTTTTGTCTCATAGAGTCCCTAAGCTTATACCCCGAATTCCTATACTTACTCCCTAAAACTACCCTCAGTCCTAACTGCAAGACGCAAGAGTCTTGCAGGCTTGGTCTTGTTCTTGCTTAAATCTTGCACAGTCAGTCTTGGTCTTGGTCTTGCAAAAATTACCCGGTCTTGGTCTCAAGACTCAAGACTGCAAGACCAAGACCAATTTTGGGCAACACTAACTGTTACTGTTATACTATTTAAGGTCCTTAAGAATGCTTAGTAACGACACTCTAATAGGTGGTAGAGCCTAGCTGTGGTTAAGTTACTACAGCTCGAACATGGGCTGGCTCGACCGGGGAAGTACCACCCTCTCACAGAAGATCGGCGTGAAGTAGTCAGTAATGACTGCGTTTCGTCCGATGAGTGAGAGAGCCGGTTGCCCTTTCCCTTTTCCCAACCTTTCCTTGTATTTCCTTATTCCCACCCTTCCCTATCCCTAAAAAAAAAGGTTGGCAACGCATCCGCAACATATTTGTTGCGGATATCCATGGGCGACGGTAACCACCTTCCATCAAGTGGGCCGTCTGTTCATTTGCCACCTATAACATAAAAAAAAAACTTGCTAAAAAACAGCCTAAGTAAAAGAAATAAAAAAGAAGAACTAAATTATATTGATGGAAATTAATTTTCTTTTCTTTACGATATCATATATACATATACATATATATATATATAAACTTTTTAAAGATGATTTAAATCTGCATCTGGATACAAATTACAATCTTTAATTATCTTCAATATTTTTTTTTTACTTTGGATTTATTTGACTTGATGTATTAAACACAAAAATCTGTATAATATACATAGAACTCTGAAAAAACAACATACATATATACTTCCATGTTTAAAGAAAATGTAAGATAAACCGATATAAAAGAATCATAAATATCAACATAAGCAGACGAACAATGCAACGGCTACTTGATCGCTGGTTAACTATCGAGAGAAAGACGATCAGTTCAATATTATATGTAATAACAAGAAAGTCAACATATCATGTTGCATTTGAAACAAGTCAAGAGTCAAGGAATGGATGCAATCGATTTCTACTGTTATGGTCAATAAGAAATGTTTAAAAAAGGTTTTCATGAATGAACAATTAATATTTTGCAGGTCCAAAATGGTATCCTGTCGTAGGTTGTACCAAAATAGTAAACGAAATGTCTCGACAATATGGTTGTCAATGGAAGGGCTTATCAAAGTTGGCGAAGCAGTATTCAACCCAAGTTCTTGGTATAAAACTTGGTTTAGAACCGATAGTTGTTGTTTATGGAGATCATAACGTAAGAAGAGTGTTTACTGAAAAAGTATTTGAAGGGAGACCTAACAGTTTCTTCTTACGTCTGCGTTGTTTAGGCAAAAAAATGGGTAAGATTTTTACAGATTATTATTAAATTAAGTAATTAAATTGTATTTAAGGTAATAAATCACTTATAGGTATCACTTTCGCCGATGGAGAACTTTGGAAGGAGCATAGAAAATTTACAGTGAAACATTTAAAAAATGTTGGCTTTGGTAAAACTGCAATGGAGGGGGAAATACAAAGAGAACTACAGTATATTATAAAGTATATAGATGATCATAATAATACACCTATAAATCCGAAAACAATACTTGCAATATCGGTGATGAATATTTTATGGAAATTTACGGCAGGTAAAAATTACAGACAACATTTTCTAAATTAAAACTAAGAGTTCCTTGGCAATATTTTTTTATTTTACCAGTTTTTAGTACAATATTGAACATTTTGTAATTAAATTTAACAGGAATGTTGATAAAGTTATTACAGGAGCGTCCGCAGAAGAAGTTTCTGCTTGGTGCTTATAACATAATAACTCACTGCAAGTTTGAAACTACATTTGCTTTCACTATTAAATAACAGAACTTTAGCCAAAATCAATATCTTCAAGTTCACGGTTAAGGTTATTATATAAGTTATTATATATACGTGTTTAAAGGCTTAGTTACGTTGTTCGTAAAGGTGTAACTTTGGTAAGCCTCAAACAAACGACGTGCACTTTATAACCAGTGCTTTAACGGAATACATGAATATATAAGTTCTCTAATAAACACAGAAAGGTATTTACAAGATAATTTTGCAATTATTTAATTTATTACCTATATCAAGAGCATTTGGTGACAGCACTTTCTATATATTTTACATTACTTGAATAGATTTATATTTTGGTATGTCTTTTTTTATCGGTTATAATCTGATCTAGTTGAAAGATAAGATAGACGTCCTAAAACCTTATGATTTAATTATTGAAACAGCTTTTTTAACATTTAAAGCGTTCATTATGTTTTAAAGCGTAGTATTGAAAACGAAAATTTGCTCTCTGTTCTAACAAAACTATTAGAAAATTTTGTTTGGTGATTTTGAAATGTCATCTTGTCTTAGACATTAAGTTATCCTAATTTTATAGCTCAGACCGACTTCGTGAAACTTCATTTGCTGTAACATTTCACTTAACCTGCAAGTATTTGTTTTACTAAAAGATGGCTGAACTCTTTTTTATTGGTGTTTTTAAGAATCCTCTCAGACGTTTTACTACGCCTTAATTAACTATTTGACTTCAACTAACGCGAAATGCCACACATAAAACGCCACTATGTACATTTATAAAAATGCTAAAAAACTCTGTTCTGCGGTAAACGAATTCAAGTATGTTCTGATGCTCCGAACATATTATTCTGTATATATTTTACTTAAAACAGAACTTTAAACTATCAATGTTTTGAAAGCTGCTACAAAGAGAAATCTTGGATTATACAGTTTGAATGCCATTGTATTTGAGTAAAACTCATACAATTCTCGTATATACTATTTTGACATTAACATTGAACTTGAAAATCCTTTGAAATACCTTCTCAAATTTTTGTGTAAACAAAGATAGTATCTTTGCATTTCGTTTGATAAGTGGGGGCACCAGAAGTCTCTACATTTACCTTCCTTTATCAATATTAATTTCCTAGTGAAGATACGTTTTTAAACGGTTTTATTTGTAGTTATTTCCTATATCAGATTGAGTTTGTTCTAAGTGTCATTATGTTTTACGGACTTTTTTATGAATGACAGTGTTGATAACAAGGTAGTTCACAAGGAACCTTTGTCAAGCCTTTTGCATTTGAAAATATTGATGACCAATACAGTACTAGACATTCAAGGGCTCGTCCAATTCTTGGAAACTTAACTGTAGCGCCGCACACGTCTATAATTTTATGTAAAACGTAACCTAATTTTTTTTATTTTATTATACACCGTTTTATATAAAAAAACACCATTTATGTTTTGGTATCATTCATTAATTATGTGGTTGAACAAAAATGGATACAACAATAACATAAAAAATTGTTTATGAAAATACTTAATTACGCACACTGTAAATTATAATTTTAATTTGAGTATATATAATAGTATACGACTTTTATAGAATATTATATACTAGATACACGGTCCGGCTTCATATGGGAGATTTACAAAAAAATCTAAAATAGCCTATGTTGCGTAAAATGCGTTGAGAACTTTTTTTTAACTTAAATCAAAGACAATAAAAAATTTCATCATTATTCTCGCTAAACATATTTTAAGTTTGAACTAAGAGAAACAGATTTTTTTTATGTAAGGGGGCGTTCATAAAATACGTGAGATATTTAAGAGGGGAGGAGGTCGAGTCAAATCTCATCTACTCTTACGTAGGAGGGGGAGGGGGTCTCGGCAAATATCACGTATTTAATTTTTTTCTAAATGAAACAAAAAAATATATACTATTTTGGATCATTTAATCCAGATTGTATATATAAGATTTAATCTAAAGCGTAATCGCTATACGATGAAGATCATTCCGTAATTCGTTAAAATAAAATATTTCTTTTATACTTCGACGTTAGAAATTAACAGACTGTCGAGCCACTATCCCCCTTGAAAAAAATAAACTCACGTAAGATTGGGGGATGGGGGGAGGGGGTTGAATACAATCTCACGACATCTCAGAAATTTCAAAAAAACACCTCATGTAATTTATGAACGCCCCCTAATACTTTTTAATATTGTAATAAAAAAATAAATAAATAAATATATATTAAAAAACTATTACTGACATAAAAAAAAAACTGTAATAGGTTTTTAATATAATAAAATTACAATATTTTTTGTATACAACATTAATGACGTGATCATACATAAAAAACTGAGTGCGCTGTCTAATGCGCGGATTTAATTTTAAGAATTATTAAACATATCTTAATATAACTTTCAAATGGTACAGCCGAATTAAATAATTCAAAAATTAATTTACATATACTGATGTGTACTCGAAGTATATTATTTTGATAAGACCTAAAAATCTGCTTATATAAATAACTTACCAATAAACGCTTAATTAAAGCCAATTTACGCTTTTCTGTAGACCTTTATAAGATACATAATTTCACCATACATTATTTTACTATATATTAAAGGCTCTAGGCAACGTTTTTGTTAAAAGCTCTCAGATGGCTCATTTTTTCCCAATATTTTCAATAATTATTATCATTAATGTACACACAAATAACTACAAAACTTGACAAATTATATATTAAAACCTTCCTAAAGGATTAATTATTCTATAAGCTGGTGAAAACCAATTGATAATAATCGGTGCAGTAGTTTTTCTGTTGATCGCGAAAAGACACTGTAATAACTTTTTTATATTCAGAATAATTATTTTATAAATCTATTTGTGTAGCTTATTTATTTACCAATATTTTCAATTTTCCAGGCGAACATATAAATATGGAACGTTTGGTTTTTCTGTTAGATTTAATGAAAGCAAGATCTAAGGCTTTCACAATGGCAGGCGGTTGGTTGAATCAGTGGCCTTGGATTAGATTTTTATTTCCCAATGGCAGTGGTTATAATCTCATAAGGAAGATAAACCAACAATTATCTGATATTATTGAGGTTAAACCATTACATTATTATTATATTTCTTATCTAGCATGTCACTTACTTATCTTATTAAGCAAAACCTTTTTTAGGAGGCAATAGTAAAGCACAAAAATGAAAGCATTCCCGGAAACGATTTTATTTACATGTTTTTAAATAAGATAAAAGAAAATAGAGAATCTTTTACTGGTGAGTGTGACCTTTGCTTTGAATATAAAATACAGCTTCTGATTATAAAAGCTTTACTCTTTTCAAAGCGAAAGACTTATAAAATACTATTTCTTATCGCGATGGAACGGTTAAGATATTAAATGTGTTTAATTTTAAACGTTGATTAGTTCAAATTGTTAAATTATATATTTAAATATTAGCAAATTAAGATCAAACTATCGATTGATTAAAATGTTTTTTTTAGGTTTAGCTTAAATGTACGATTGATTTGTTAAATATATATATATATATATATATATATATATATATATATATATAAATTATATGATGTTATTAGAAAAAGTAATTTTTATTGAAATTTTTAAACAAGATATTTTGGTGACTAACCAATCTTTCGTTAGTTATATCATACATGTTCTCACTACACCAGTAAATATTTAAAGGATATATTTGTTTAATAATAATTACAGAGGAACAATTAAAGGTTGTATGTCTGGACTTACTTATAGCCGGATCACAAACTACCAGTAATGCTTTGGAATTTGCCATTCTAGGAGTATTAAGAAATAAAAATATCCAGGAAAAGATTTTTAAAGAAATATATACTATACTTGGAAACAAAATGCCCTCTTGGTCAGATAGCAACAGGTAATATTAATGATAATCAAAAAGTATGAATCATTGATTCTTTATAATATTATATAATTCCATTTATTACAATTACACTATAAATGGCTTAGATAGCATATTAAAATTAAAGTTTCTTTTACTCACATTAATTAACAACGACAATAATCTTTTCAGATTAGTGTATACAATGGCGTATCTTTATGAATGCCAAAGATATTTCACAATAGTCCCTTTAGCAGGTCCTCGACGGGTGTTAGAGGACGTGACAATGGATGACTATTTGATACCAAAAGATACGACAGTACTTATTTCCGTCGGCGATGTACATTTTGATTCAGAAATATGGGAAGCTCCCGATAAGTTTATGCCTGAGAGATTTATTGACGATAGAGGAAAATTGATGAAAACCGAGAATATTTATCCGTTCGGTATAGGTGGGTTCTAGTATTTGTTTCAATTTCAGTGAAATTTCATTAAGTGAAATCACTGTTGAATAGGAATAAAATAGCGAACTACTACCAATAAAGTAACTACTTTATTGAAAGTTATTTTCTGTTTAGTATTGTTAGTGCATGACACCTTAAGTGTTTGTAAGTTTACACGTCAGTGTTCCGTATCCTTTTATTCTACATTATTTTAAAATACGGCTTAGGATTCTCTTTTATACACATAGGTATTTTTTATGACATAAGAAATATTTTGTTTATAATTATGTATATACCACACTATTTGATGTTTAATAATAGTAGGAAAAGTCGGTTTGATTGAAGTATTGCTTACACTATTAATAAAAAATGTGATAAATTTTGCTTTTCTAAACAGAATCAATATATCTGTGAATGCATTAAAAAAATATTTAATATTTTTAGGACGGAGACGTTGTCCAGGTGATGCTTTGGCTAAGTCATTTATATTCATAGTATTTGTCGGAATAATCCAAAAATACCAGATAGTATGCAGAGATGGCGAACTTCCGTCCGACGAGCCGATTGTTGGTCTCATATCTAGTGCACGCCCATACACAGCGGAATTCAGAATGAGAGATACATAACTGAAATTAAAATGTTTGAATTATGCTGTGAAATAAATCAATTAAATAAAGTATAATAAGAATAATTTACAAATTTTCTTCATCTACATTTATAATTAGAAAAAAACAATTTGGTGTAAATAAAAAATTATCACGGGAAAATGCGCTTTAGAACATAAATTGTACATATATACAAATTACTTTTCTGGATGTACGTTCGCTTTTATTAATTAAAAAGAACAAGCGGATAAAGTTTCAAAGTACGAGTAGCTATTCCGTATTCCTTTGAAAGTTAATTACTATGAGTATTGCCGTGGACTCGAAAACTTTTTGTATCTGGTTTCAATGTCATTGTCAATATCAAAGCAAATGATATTCTAAAATTTTAAAGTTTTAGTTGAACTAATCACAATATTTATGCAAATCTGTTATCAACACCTTGAGTAGTATACAGTTTTGTTTAAATATTTCATAGGAAATAATAAATATAAAAGTGACATGTATTTTTTGAGTAATATGCATGAACGAAATATTTTACGACTCCTTATTGTAAACAATAACAAAATAGTATATATATATATATGTATATATATGATATGTATAGTGCCTTAAAGTAACCAACGAGGAAGCGAAAAAAAACCACGTTTTATGCATAATAAAAAAAAATATGAATAGCATTGATTTTGTGGTTGGATTAATAACTACCCGTGAGCGTAATTCAGAAATTAAGTCACTGTTGGCATAATACGTATTTTGTGAACAATTCTATATCATTAAGGAAATTAATTACCCCTTATAAATTTTGTGAAGAAAGAAAAAGTTTTTTGTTACAAAAATCCAATACTACATATCTGGCTTCTGTAGTGTCGATGTCGTTTGTTGTTGCCTTATTCTCATCTCGGTATCATTAATTGCATGTATCTGTATATAATTAATAAAGAAAGAGAAAAAAATTCAAGTAAAACGACACTAATTTGGATGAATATGAATAAAATATAAATTATTAAATTATAATAAAACAAATAGTCGTCCAAACTATCTCTTTGGCAAAATATAAGTTAGTCACTTTTTGGTTACACCTAAAAATTTAATTAGTTTTTAACTTTACTACACCTATGGTTTTAAGTCACATTGATATAATTATGTTCATAGATTTACGTTGTTTTATTTAAAAACAAAACAAAAAATATAATAAAGACAAAACTTCTCAATATTACATGGATTCACCGTGCGGGTACCGGGCGAATCGCGTTGCAGAGAACGGAGCTTTAATAGTGCTTGGGAGTTGAGACTCAGGTTTAGATTTAAAAGGCCCTTTATTTATTTTTTTTGATGACGCCGAGAAACTCTTTTTCCAACCGGCCTTCGTGGGGTCGGAAGGGATGTGTGAGACTCGGCCTGGGCAGGCCCACACTCACTAAATTCATGTGAAAGCCATCGGCCGCTATGTCGGCGTACCCCTGATCTGTCAGCGTCAGGGCACAGCAGCGACTGGCCGGTCCCAGCAAAGACCGGACTTACTCGCAATTAGGACTGCGCCGACGACGCCGGGCTTTTACTGGAGCCGGGTTACTAAGCCGACCCCAACGCACAGGAGTGCTATTGGAGGCGTTGGTATCGCCTTCGTCGCATCCCCGTACGTCGACTGCGGAGGGAGGGTGCATCAACGGGTGCATAAAATGAATTGTTCTTAATTCTGGACAGGAGCGAATATTTTAATAGGTTGTAGAGAGGTTTAGTTTTATAACTCAAGTTCCCACTTCTAATGCGAACAAATATACGAAGAGCCATTCTCAGTGACTTCGCTGGTGAGCTTGTAATACTTGTTGACCTTGATGGTATGGTCTTTGGGGATTTTGGTTTCGCAACTTCATGGGTGATGAAACTCTTGATCGGATTTAAACATAATCTGAAAAGAAAAGTTTGTTCCCCTCAACACACTTTCTTGTTATCCTTCAGAATCATGATATGAAAAATGAACGAAATTAAAAACAATATTTATATATTTATTTAGTTAGTACTTATATATACTTTTTTAAGAAAAAGAAAAGAAGTACCTTTATATAAGAAAGAGAAAAAATATATATTTTAAAATAGTCATACGATTATTTTGATAGCATGAAATAATATGAATAAAATAGAAATCGATAATTGCCAAGAGCTTCATACCGTTCGTCTTGGTGAGTTGTGTAGGAAATGACATGTCGTTGTTGTAATGGCGAGAATAGCGATTTTGTCATGGAAAATAGCATTGAAACTCTGTCTTTTTTCATATTTATTATTGTTTTTTTTCCCAAAACCCAACAAATTCAGAGACCAAACATATATTCAGAAATTTCTGAATCAACACATAGAACTCCATTTTAAAGTAGCTGCCCAAAAAGTATCAATGTATGTATATAAAAAGTTCAAAGCGGATTCCTTTTCATCTAAATTAGATATAGTTCATATTAAGGGTAGAAATTATTTGAGTACCACAAAATTTTAAATATTTTTATTATCTGAAAAAGTTTTCGGCTTTTTAAGTAAATAATTATCCAGATCATAGAAAAATATAAAAAAAGAAACACTAAATACTTCATGTTCGTTTAATTAAGGGTAGTTAATCAATGAATGATTAAACCTATAGCAGTGTTCAAAACATTATAGATTGTTAAAGTTAAATTCAAAAAGGTTACATAGTATGGTTTTGTATAAATTACATCCAAGAAGCTAGAATAGACTATTATCCTTCATATTAATTACGGGTCTATTATTAAACTAACACCGCTAACTAATTGATTCGTGTAATGTTAGATGAGTGGGTTATAATAGGTTGGTAGTAATTACGTGTTAAGTGTTTATTAGGTGATGCTGTTTAATGGAACTGTAATATAGGAATTTTTATACAGGAAAAAAAAGGTGAATAAAAATCTTAAAGAATTTGCAAGCTTGAAGGATTATTTCAATGAATGAAAAACCCTTTCCATTTTCATTCCTGATCATCCTCAAAAAAAATATATATTTTATAGTAGTGGTCAAGTATAATTTATAACTATAACAAAAAAATGACTTTGAATGATAAAGGGATACATACTTTCGACAAAACTATATCTTGTAACTATGATTTGAAACAGGAATAACCTTGGTAAGTGAAATATGTATTAAGCAAACCAAAATTGATATTTGTACATAAAATTATAAACTACATCTCAAAGTGCATTTGAGTTTTTTTATATAAGAAAAGGTAAATTGTATTCTGTTGATTGCACATTTAAATTCAAAACATTGATGTGTTATGTCTTAGAATTTATACAATTCTACAGCTTAATATTTTATTTTATCTTCAAAATTAACTGGTCTTATTTAAATTCATCATTGTATAAATTATATTTTTGGACGTCTAGGGCAATGGAACTTATTTAAATGAAGAAAAAATACGTCTTCATTGACGTTAGTGACATTAGGTTTGACATAAAACTCGGACAATGCTTTTATAATGCAACATCTTTCCATTTGATCTGCCTCAAAATGTTTCAAAATAATTCTATTATAGATTTTTAGTACCTTAAATCAGTAATATAAAGTGCATTAAAGAGAAACTACTTGTATAAATAAAGCAAATACAATCAAAGTTACTGAGACACTGTAAGTAGTTTGAAACTTGACTAAATACCTAAGTAACTGAATTCTAAGACCATTCAGAATCGGAGAGCCGTTCGACGTCAGAATAAAAACTCGTTAAAATTTGACCTTTGAATTTTCAAATAAAAAGCAAAAAGCGGTGGTTGTAGAAAGTTTTTGATGTATTCCGAGACTGCGAGCCACAGAACGCTTTATCGTTTTCAATTAGAGATGAAATTTGTAGCTGACCGAAATGAGTGGATGTTTGATATACGCTTTTTTCTGTCAGTTATAAAATTCAGATGCATTTAACATTAAAAATTTGGAAAGATAGAGGCAATTAGGTGATTTTTTGTGTACCAATATCTTTTATAGTTAGTAGCATGAAAATATTTTATTAATACTGAGATTACTGTGTATAAAGTTTCTAAAAACTACTTAATATTTTTTTCAGATAATATATAAAATGCGACATTATTACCTTGATTATCGAAGTCGATCATCTTCAGTCACAGATAAGAATGTGAGTAATCTTTTGTCAATATAGTCATAATATTATGGTGAAGGTGTTAATTAATAGATAAATATTTATTTATAGGAGTTCAGTGCAAGCAGTCACTTCAGATGGCAGAGTATAAAGAAATTTCTGTACGTTGCTCACGCCTTTTCATTAAATAGTTTCAGTTTCGACCTCTTCTCAAGGGTCTTAGTGGTTCACGGTAAGAATTTTATTAGGCAGATATTGACGTACGACTATTTTGCAATTCATCCCTTAAACCAGTGTTGGATACGAAGATATTCCAATTTAATTTTTTTTCGGTTTTTTTTTCTACCGTCCTGTAACTAGTTGGATTTACTAAATTTAAATTTTGATGTTTCGATAAAAAAGTAGGTATTAGTAGGCTCAATCAGCGAAATAACTACGGTAAAATTTTTAAGATATCAAGAAAAGAATTCCAGCTAAAGTTATTTGACTAAAAATTAAAACATAGAAAAACATACATTATATAACCTGATTAATAATACAAATCTTTTTATTTTAGCACATTTATTCCTTTATATAATATACGCAGTGGTCATAGGAATAAGTTATATGTTTATGGATTTCTTTATAAAACAATATACAAGAAAGCTGGATACTGGAAGTTTGATGAATCCATTGCTGAAAGGAGTATCATATGGTATTCTTATACAAACCGATCTTTCCGCTATTGTGGTAAGTAAAAATTGTTAGCACGGAATCTAATATGTAGTTGTGATAATGCTCATTTTTGACGTAACTACTTTGACCATACTCGCTTTAAATCGATATTGACTTTAAAATATGAATAAATATTGGTAGGTAATAAAAAAGTTTTAAAATTAAAAATAATAATAGTATATACGTGTCGGACCTAATGGTCTGTCATAATATGATAGAAAGCACGTGGAAAGAAATATTTCTTTTCTCGCTTCGTATAGTTTGGGTCAAAAAATATATAAGAAGACAAACTTCTAAACTATAACTTTCTAACAATGTTTGTGGCAAACAATGAAACTATATAATAATAGTTAAATCCTGGTATTGTCACTTCTCATGTTGCAATTCTCACGTTGAACAATATTCACTTCAAATTCTCCTAATAAGATTAACTTAAGAGCCTTTCGTTTAAAAACTTAGAATGAAATTTTTACTTGTAATCTAAGTTATATTTAATAGATCGTGTTCTTTTGTATTCTTTGGAATAAAACTTATTTAACTCAAATCAAACATTATTACGTTCAATAGTATTAATTAAAAATTAAATAGTATTAATAATAGAAAGCATTCATAGAATTTATACTCCTTTAATTTGAAGGAAGGATATATTACGTATATACTCGTGTTCAGTAATTGGTGTCCGAGGATATCTATTTATACTACCTCTTGTTATCATTTATAATAATTATTATCGATACAGAAAAGAACGAATATTGTCAATAAGAACATTATCGATCTTGTAGATTACCAGTTAATTAAAAATCATACCCATAACAAACCCGACGACAATTACAACATTAATTCAAGGCAATATTTTATTGAACTAGTTTCGACTTTCGACGGACTTTACTATAAAGGTTTTTCGGCAAACTTATTAATGTTTTTTTTTTTAAATAACTCAAATAGAGTTATCAACATATAAATGTGCATTTATTCTTCATCTAAAAAGCTTGTTGTGTAATTTTCATATTTTATCAGTTCATAAGTAGATATGTATAATAACATATTAAAAACCGTTTTCAAGGTGGTAGAGCCTAGCTGTGGTCAAGTGTATATGTATTTCAATTGTAGTATACTAACATAATATCGTAAAAACTTAGATAACATAATATCGTAACGAAAGTTGTATTATTTTCTCTTCCGCTTCTTTTTTTACCGATCTTTTCTCGGCCAGTAAATAAAAACTCAGCGGAACTTTCATTTATGTAGGCCGATTATCAATACTCCTTTTCTTCTGTTAATGTTCATCCTTTGTTATGTTTAAGTACTACTAACAAGATTTGTTATTCTTTATTTGCATCAATTGACTCTAGATCCTTCACAGGATGCTACAATTCAGTTATTATTATTTTGTAGGACCTGAATCTCACACATAATAACCGAAACAGAAATGATATTCTCTTACTTTAAGGAATTTTCAGAAGTAGTGCGAATAATATCAAGGTTGATTATGACACTATGCTTTCAAAGTTTGTCACCTTTTGCCTAACCTCAAGGTTCTGGTTTGTATATCGTTAGAATTGCAGGCGAATATCTCTAAGCTACTAAAAAAAATCTATTTAATAAACTAGTTTTCTAAAATGGTTCCTAAATATAAATTATTTTTTCCTACTCATTTACTGAGAGCACTTAATTATTACCTATGTTGACAAAGCTGATCTGTGATTACAAGCTGTACGATGATCCCTTAATTATAAGCTAGTAGTTTTTACATTTTTGACCATATTATATGTATTATATAGGAGGGTTAAATTTAAGCTTACAACTACAAATAATCGCATAAAAGGAGATCTTACTTTTTAGAAAAAGAAAAATGTGATTTCGGTAATTTTGTCTATTCTAGTTTAACATATGTAATTTATTTAAAAATGGTCATTAAGAAAAAAATCCCTAGCAAAAGGAGCGTTTTTGATAATAATTCCACCGTAGAACACCGCTTTCAATCGTGTTACCTATTATAAAATAGTTTTTAGAAAGGACATTGCATATGAAGTGTTACTCATTTTTATAAAAATCATATTATGTAACAATATCATTAGACTGGTGCAGTAATGTTACCCAAAAGTATGTTCTATTGCTTCATGACATTATTTTTAAAATTATCGTTACAACCCTGTTCGGAACCTAAATATACATTGTATTTTAAAAAACATATTTTTTAATTTTATTATCTTTTCTAAAAACACACTGTTTCCAAATACTAGAACGTATAATGAAATGCTTTCATAAACTATTTTCAAGAAAGTATTACAAATATATAATACCTATAACAAATTTCAACTTCAACGTGAACATTACATTATTCCCAAAAATAAACTCCGTTATATTATGTAGTCAAAAGTGGTATACAAAAACAGTTTGAAAAGATTATTAAAACAGTTATTACTAAAAAAAATTGAAAGTTCTTTTTTAACATGAATTACATTTAATGAAATTATTTTTTTTAGCATGCAGTCGATTTAGCGGACTCGGTCCGGTTTCTACTGACCAGTATGAATAAAACACCGTCGTGGTCTAAGTGTCAGAACCTTTCGCCAAATATTAGTTGTCTCTCTTCTCAGGATATAAAAATAAAATGCAATAACGAGGACATTGTGAATCTGAAGAATACGTCAGCCCACCTCAACTACCTGTAAGTCTATATAATTTAAAAAAAATAATAATTTAAATGTATTTTAGATAACGCAATATTATACATCCATAATTATCTAATTTATTAGCTCCACGGAATTTTCGTCTTGTTATTTGTGAATGGAAATTAAATGATAGTTTAACGATAATTAAATTAGTCTTTGACTAGTGACTAATATTAATATTCAGTCATTAGTTAAAACCTTTTATTATATTGATTTACTTAACCTCTACACGTTAATAGTCGTTTAACGATTGTACTGGCACGCATGGGACAGTTATCGAATAATAATAGGCAAACAAATGCCTTACATCTTTTTTGAATAGAGCTTACACTTACACTGCCAGTTAAATGTTAACCAAAAATACCTAAGGACTATAAAGTGACTTTTAAATGTAAATCACTTTGAGGGTTACGATGCCACAGGCAGATACAGACATCCACATACATACACATCGACGTCAAACTTAGTGGTTATAAACCCTATTTGCATCAGGTTTTAAAAATAAATCGATGTTTCAACCAAAGTCCGCTTTAAAGACTAATATTATTTTGATCAACATTAATACGTTATTATGAATTCACAAGAGTAATGTTATATTAATACATAAACCACAAAATCATTTTCATTTTATCAGTGAGCTTCTTGGAAGTATACAATTCAATTACCATAAAATATCAAAAGAAATACTAGCTACTACCAAAATACATATGTTGCAAAATTGAAGCTCACATCTCTATGGTTGTTTCTATAACTGATTTTGCGATTGAAAATAGTTAAATGAAAATTTCGTTTAAATACCAAATATTCTAGAAAACTTTATTGATAGCTGAATAATTCTCAATATTGATAGCTGCTGCTTTCATTATTGGTTGGTACATAGAGAGTCAATTTAGAGAATTAGATTAGTTTACAGTCTTTAGGACTCTTACAATAAAATATGTTTTCAGTTCTTGCGTAAAGGATAACTTCGATAGTCTCTTGCAGCCATGATATCAATAACTATTTATTCGATCAAGATATTTATGCATGTGCACTATTCGAGTCGTCACACATGATAACATCCATATTTATGACTTATGTAGTAAGGTCTTTTGCTTTAAAAGTTATTATAAGAGGTATAAGTCACACAGAACATCGGACGTTTTCAAAGGAAATCAACTTTTGATTGGCGTATAGATTGTTACGTCTAAGACCATTTTTACAATCAAATCCGTAACACAATATATCAACATCAGGATCAGCTTTATTGGTTACACATAGTTGTAAAACAGCGTTTTATTTTATAATAGTTTGAATTACGTTTGCATCTTTTTTTAAAATAAAATTACCATAAATATGAAAAATTTGATTATTAGCTTTCATCAAAGCAGCAGAATGTTAAATATATACATTTATGTTTCTAATAGCTATGTTGAAATATTAGTCTTTTACATCTATACTGAATATACATATATATGTATAATAGAATTTTATACAGAGAGCGGTCTTCGTTACAGAAAACTGTTTGCCGGTTTAGACAGAAACAGTCTATCAATGAGATTTTTTATAATCGCAATCGTCTGGATATGTAATTTTTTCATCGCAACAATTACGGATACTGCTCTTTTAAGGGTATGCTTTATTACATTTTATTATAACTCAGGTATATTAACGACACGGTTATTGTTAAATATATTATTAAAAAGTTGCCATAATTGCATAAATCTGTAAAAGAGCAAGAGTTCCTAGTATAATTCTAATTTATACAGCATTTGTTAATAAATTTCAGAGTATTCAAACTTTGTTTCTAATCTATAGTTTTAAATTAAGTCCTCTAACTATTATTTACATTCCGAAATAAATATTTCACCCAAAATAAATGTGTTGAAAGTGCATATTAAATAAATTTAATGGTCGATACTTAAAATTTAAAAATTGAGATTTTGAGTGACTTTTTTTATCAGGCTTTCAAGCTAGGAGTTATAAAAAACTGATTAACATTTGTGAAAAGTTTTCTTTATTTCGTTTTTAGATATATTCAAAATTGTATTGTTTCAGATTTTCAAGCTTTCATTCTTGTGGGGCGTTTTTTCAACGACTTTTATTCTTATTTTTTTACTGTTCTCGACACAGTACACGACCCAAGCGTTTTACGAAATTATGAGTTTAAAGAATAGTTCTTATGTAAGTGTATGATATTTTTGCATAAAAATATTAAATATTGAAAAGAAAAAACTTAATACCTTACAATTTTTTATAATAATTCAATTAATTGTATACAATTTTATAGTTAGACACATACGTATGTAGTAACAACAGTTAGATTAGAATAAAATCTGCATTTCTGCATTGCATTTATCTGCATTTGATCATGTTTTTGAATACTGGCAAGAATAAGGTGGAATTAAACATTAGTTTTAAATTTCTATACTAATTTTCTATACGAAGAGACAAATTATACTTCTTTTCGAATAAACCTACATTACTTTTTATTTATTATTAATCCTTTTCTACACAACTGAACATAGAATATTCTATTTTTTCCAATAATTTACAATCAAAGTGTATATTTACAGTGTAGATTAATTTTTATTGGACAATGAATCACTTCACGTCACGTCATATTTAGTCACTGTCTCTGGCGAATATTTTTTCCTCTTTTATTTGGTTTCAATGGTTACATACAAACGATACAACAGTCATAATTGGATACAATCTTTTAGCTTATAATAGCTTCCTTCCAAGCAAGGTATAGTCCGTTCGTTTATTCGTTTTTGTTTTATTCTTATTATTCGAGTATAAAAGAGGCTTGTTAACTTTAGCCTGTTGTAAAACATATGAAAGAAATAATAAAAAGTATCTAATGTTTGGTTATAATTTTAAGTTCAAAACATTCCGTAACATTGCTCTGACGTTATTTCTCAATAATATTCATTTGTTTTATCTGTTATAAAATTATCCATAAGGTAAACAAATTGATAACATAACGATTGTAAACTTTTGCATCCTTTCTTCGAAGATGGAGCATAGCAGATAAACCAAAATACAAGCATCAACTCTTATACTAACTCTAAATACTTCAAATTGGCTTTTCTGAGAAGCATAACCGTAAATGTAATTTTTCAGTGGACTAATTCAATGCAAGCCTTTTCTCAGAATACGAGATTTCAATCTCTTTCTTTGAATAGTTTTTTTATTAGAATTTATCATACTTAGCCTTTTTTAACTTAGTGTTTTTTAAAGTTCTAAACGTTTTATAGCAAAATGTTTTTATCAATTTTTAGCAAAAATGAACTATTTTACATACATACTCGTATTTTATAGATCTATTCATTTTCATACATCTGGACTTAATTAATTAGTAAATATATGGCAAATATATTATCTAAAAAAATCTGAGTTAATAAAACATTTACCTGTACCAATATGTATTTCTTATGTCAATTTTAATTTCTTTTCAGAATAAAGGAATAAATCTAGTAACCGACCCATTCGGAGTTGGCCTCATCGGGGTATATGATTTTGGAACCATGTCTCCTTTCACGATGGTTGACAACGCAGTGTTAATTTTCGCGATGGTGTTTATTGCTATGGCTTTCGCGAGATCTCTCATAGTACGAGTGCTTTATTTGAAACTTACTGAATGTGTTAAAGTGGACCTGGCCGAAACTCCTCACTATCTTTTATTCGCTATTCTGCCTTTGAGTACAGAATTTATGGATGCTCACAAGATCTTCGTACTGTACATTTATCTGTACATGATGGCTGCATTAGTGGCATATTTGGTAAATATTTACTTTATAATTTTCTTTATTTATTATTATAAATATTTAGTTATTACTTCAAAGGTTTCCGTCTTGTTATTGATAAAATTAAACTATTTAAGCAAGTTATCAGTATGGTGAAACTGTAGGTGTGTTACTTCAGTCACCCTATTTAAAAGTCATGGTGTAAAATTATGAAGAATATTATATAATTCGAGAAATTTAAGATTTAACTCAAAAAAAAATATTACCTAAAGTTTTGTTATTGCATATCTTCGTTTGATAATTAGATGTATATTATTATGATAATCTCCTATAAAACTGAACTACAAAATGTATTTTCAAAATACATACATTTTATACCTTAGAAGGTTTAAGTGATAAATACAATTATACAATAAATACAAAAGACACTGATCGATTTATAACCTTTCCAAAATATATTTCGTATTTTTTATAATGTAATTGCTTAAAATGAAGTTTATCTGTTTTTTTCTCAACAACTCTAACAGTAGCATATATGTCCAAATTTGCACAGAGTTGTTTTTAATTTAAGTTTTACCCGTGAAGTACATTTTTAATTATGGTATTCCTTGCAAATAAGATTAGAAATTACCGTAAATATATATTATTGGCTGCCATACAAATGTTTAATTTAATACGTACTTTATAATACGTATATTATTAATATGTATGATAGTGGCTAAAAAGTTTCTCAAAGACAGCGCCCTGAGGACGCTCGTGGAAAATTCACTGGACAACATCAATTCTCAAATTCTTTTTTTTTTCGTCCTTGAATGATGTTAAGTCGCGTTTTTTTAGTTTTATTTCATTTCCATATGTGTTGCGAAACGTTATTTTTTTTAGTAATACCCCTAAACGATAATTAAGTCGTATAATCCCGGTACTAATTACAGTATTTTGTTCTAATTTTAGTAAACGAATCATATAATATTGCTAAATGTAAAGATTCTAATATTAAAGAAGTATCTAGTTATTTGAGGTACGCAATTTAATAAATTAGGAAAAGAAAACATGTACCTTGAAATTTTCGGAAATATTAAGCTCAATAAATCTTTCCGAACGTTTCTAAGAGCATTTTAACAAAATAAATTATTTTAGTAGAAACTTTAAGGAAGAAAGCCTGTGTGTTACTTAACGGAAAGCCATTTGTTTCTGAGTTGACTTACCGTTAAGTTTGTGGTCTCTAAAAAAACAAAAGTATATGTATATTAATTTATAAACAGTTCTTGTAATATTATAACATTTTGAAAGTAGCTACATATTTTTCATTATAAAAAAAACAAATTAGTAAACACAATTTCGCAAAATTTTTATAATCATAGAAGAATGTGTACCTTTGACAATACAAATAAAATAAACGTTTTATGAACCAACCCCTTCAATATACAGAATGTTACGAATGATGAATATACCAAAAAAAATGAAACGAAAACAAAAAACTACACCACTCAGAATTTCTAAATTCAATTTTCTAAAACCAAGTTGTGGAATCAGTGAACAAGCATTTTATATAAAAATAGTTTGTGTTTTATTCAAATAAAGTTCAATAGGTTGTGATTTAAAAATGATCACAGTCTGGAAAGCAGAAATATGCTAAATTTAAACCAAGAGCAATCTTAATTTATTGTTAGCAGTTTTTCATATCGTCCTTTAATTGTTTAGTTCTCCTGCAAACGTTAGTCTCCTTGTAAGATATGGCAGATGCAGAATTGTATAGGAAAACAAAATCAGTTTAACTAATTTTCTCATCATATAATGTTCAGAGTTTGTTTTTAATAGATACGACATAGTATCCTACTACAGCTGCGACACGGAAAATTTAAAATGTTATTTACAGCTACATATCTGTTTTCATTTTCTAACCGAAGGTTGAGAAGAGCTGAATGAAAATGAAAAGGAACAAAAATCGTCACTTTCATACATTTACTAAGAAATAATCCCAAGTATTTGTTAGCTTCTATATTTCAATAATTATATGAGTATTTTCGGAATTTACACGTGTTATACCACGTTACATAAAAATGAAAAACAAACATTGACACCAAGATGTGTTCACAAAACAAACCTTTAACTGTTCTAGCCATTTATTAATAAGAGGTAGGTTTTTCTATTACAAATTTCATGACTGCCAATATGGAAAATTTTTTTGGGCTTTAAAATATGGCTTGGCTTGGAATGGCTTTCAGAAAAGCCTTACGTTCTAAGACTGACTATTAATTATAATCCATATACATATGTACAATCTTCATCTCTTATCAGTTGCGGAACGTTCGTTTCTAGAACTCTGTGAATTTAAAAATCTATTTAAAATTCTACTTTTTTTTTCTTACTGCCCTGATCCTACTTTATGTAGGGTCGGTACAACATGTTCTTCTCTTCCACAGAAGTTATTGTTATAATAAATGTTTAAATTTTTTGTAAATATGTATAAGGAAAATTTGCGGTGTACTTGTGTGCTGCTTGATTGGATGTTTTTATTTTGTTTTAAACTATTGGTACGAGAGCTAGCAACGTCAAAAAAACAAGAATTTCAGGTAGGCTAGTTTTTAGATATGCTATCTTTCACACTCCCCTGGACGTCATACGGGGTATCTGGCAGCCGGTAGTGGTTGCGTTCATCAGTGCGCATCGTACTTGTGCAGGTAAACAAATTATTATTTCAAATCATTTTAAGAAGGTTTTTTTATTATTATTATTTTTATTGAACTATTCACAACATAAACTTATTATTGCCAGATATTTTTATTGTTGTTTAAACGGTGCCAAACGGCAATGAAGAATTAAAAAAAAAAAAAAATTTCAAATTATTTTAGTATAGCTGAAATTTTAATAGCATATTGTTTAACTATCTTAAAGCTCAGAATTAATTTGCCAGACAAAAAATCGGTTGTTAAACCTTTTGCCAGATCGAAATAAAGTCTAAAGAGATGTAGTATCATTTATAATGATTTGAAATAATAATTTTTTTACCTGCACAAGTACGATGCGCACTGATGAACGCAACCACTACCGGCTGCCAGATACCCCGTATGACGTCCAGGGGAGTGTGAAAGATAGCATATCTAAAAACTAGCCTACCTGAAATTCTTGTTCAAAAACGTTGCTAGCTCTTAGAATATATCACTTTCGAAATATCCAGTATGTCTCTTATACAGGGTGACTGGTGAATTACTATCGATATTTGAGGACGTGATATTTGACGATCCTATATGACAAAATAAAAATTAATATAACATAAATATTAATAAACTTCTAAGTAAAGTTAACCAAAAGTTGTGTAATTAATTACGCATCGTGTGAACACCCTACAGATTAGGTATACACACACACTCACACACGCGTGCTGATACAACACTACGCCGCCGCACGCGTCCACGCTTGGAACACTTGGAACGTGTCAACACTTTATTTATTTATACGGAAATTTGGTCAAAAATTAAGTACCTATTTTTGTTTACATAATTCGAATGAGAATCATGTACCGAGTATTCTCCTTAAATATTGATAGTAATTCACCAGTCACCCTGTATATTGCAATTTCTACGTCTTGTTTTAAAATAAGTGACATGGTTATAGATGCTTCCTCCATCCCTTAAAATAAGGTCTTTTAGTTACGGATACGTTTTTTCCAATTAATTTTCCTTACTGCTTTGGCCGCCTTTTTGGATTTACAAAAATGTATTTGTTCTAAAACTACTTTATTCAAATAGTGTTAAGTTATATATTAAAATTTAAGACAATTTCAAGTTATCTGTGTTAACAAAATTAAAAACTGCAAAGAAATGATATCAGGATAACGTTAGGAAGTTTCCAATTTTATAGCTAATTAATACAATTTTGTTTACTCGTTATTGGCCAAGTTTTTTTCTGCAAATTTTATTGCTAAATAAAGTTTATATATTTTTTCTTACATCGTTGAAAACAATTGATACATTAAATTCCAATAATTCGTAAAATTATATGTTATGAATATTTAGTATTGCTTTAAGTTCTAGGTATATATTTATTGTATTAATGTATTTCTTAGTTTTAGTTTTCTAAAATAGTGATGGCAGTTAATATTTTTAAATAAATAAAAAACCCTCACGTACATCAAAAATATCTTATGTTTGCGTATTATCGTGTTCGTGTTCTTCATTCTCTAGGTAAGGTTTCTATGATCCGTTATTGAAGGTTAACTAATAATCGCTCTGCGAGCTTAATCCTGTTTAACGTTAATATGGTAATGGATTGCGTATTCTAAGCTATCAGTTATCGATTTCTCTATGTAGTATACTTGTATTTTATAACTGTAGATGTAATGTAACGCGTCACTTAATTACACAAAAAAGCTTTTTAAATTGAAACGTCTTGGCTTCAAAGTTTTCTCCATAATAAAAGTCAATAAAAAAGAAAGGTATCTCAAGAACAAAAGTAAACCCACCATAAAAATTGGCTTAGTAGTCGTTTATTCTAACATTTTGACAACAATTCATATGATTGTAATATTTTACATACATTTTACAATCAAATATTTTTCGACAAACTAATCACTAATTAAATATTTTAAAATAAAAGTAGGTGACCGGAAAGCAAAAAGAAAATAATAATGTTGAAATATATTTAAAATTATCAAAAATTATCCACAATTCTTTAAAAGTGAACGATGCCTTTATCTTTCATGCTTTTGTCCCTTGAAATTATGAGAATAGTTTTGCTGACAGTGCTCGTAAATGATGTACTTGTAATTCATACTTTTTGACTATATATTGCATACAGAGGTATATTTTAATAATATATTATATATAGAGACCCTAATTACAATTCCTAAATATTATTTTAGAATATTTGAATACTCGTGAGGTATATTATTATTGACACTATAAAATGATGCCACGAAGATTTAATCGCACCAAATTACAACACAAACAATCTATTGTATAAATAGAAACCAATATCAAAAATCAAAATAAGTGTTATTTTCCTTTATATCAAAACTAGCTTTTGCCGCGGCTTCG